GGAAGCAGGTTGCACAATCTATTCTAGCCACCATCATCCCTTCGTTTGCATACGTTGTATAAATAAAAAATGCAATTGTTAAATGACTAAAAAAATTCTCGAAAATTGTGACCTCACGAGGGAATGGAGTGCACACAATGCATGCAAACGAAGGGATGATGGTGGCTAGAATAGATTGTGCAACCTCCTCCCCTTGTTAGGGAAAAATTTCAACCCTCCGCATACATGCGTCCCCCCTCCACTCCCTCGTGAAATCTGGATTTTTGGAATTTTTGTTAAAAAATTCAACTATTTTACTTTTTATTTAAACAACGCATGCAAACGGAGGAATGAGGGTGCCTAGAATAGATTCTGCAACCCCTTCCCTTTGTTGGGTTAAAAAAATTCAACCCTCCGCATGCATGCCTCCCCCCTCCACACCCTCGTGAAATCCCAATTGAGGTTTCAACAGGATTTAATAGGTCTAGGCAGTATAGAGGAGAACTTCTCAGGGCCGAAAAGAACTAAGCATTAATTTGAAAGGTCTCCGGAAAACTACGTCGCAGGACTGATTAGAACTTACCAGACCAATCTAGGTCTGGAGAGATCTTGAAAGACCTGTGTAGCTCCAATCAGAACCAAATAATTTTTCAAGTGAAACATGAAAATTCAATTTTCGTCTAAAACTCTCATAAGTTGATGAAAAATTGACAAAATTGCACAAATCAGTCGTCAGTGCTTCCAAATAAAAATGATTCAAGGTGGATGTCTCACTAAATCGTGATCATGGAGAGGTCAATTACTACCGCTGATCTCTATAGAACTGGATAGCTTGTCTTTATGGGCCCAGCACGCCAAAAGTGAGGCGATTTGAAGGCTCAGCCAGCGCCGTCTATTACCGTGCGGTGGTACTAAATCCGATACCAGTGCGCATGTGTCATCTAAATTGTTGCTAGTGGGAATGGTAATTTGACCGTGTGTTCATAACCAAAAATTCATTGTGGAGCTGAGTGACGTGTTTTTATTTGTGTTGTGATATTGTTTATTAGCTTACCAAGGAAAATAATTTAAAATTAAGTTGTTGAAACATTGTATCTCATATGAGTTACAATGGTTTGTTGTATTTATTGTAAGAAAAATAAAACAATGGAAAAATCTATCGTTTCATGAGTAAGTATGTAATATCGTATAGTCGATATTGACCCTTGGCGATTGAAGGATTCAATCAAATAACAACTGAAAAAATTGAAAATTAAATAGAAGAGGAATAAAAACCCCTGATGGATACCATTTGGACGAGTTTTGTTTTTCACCCATTCGTCATTTTTCATGAGCATAAAGGTGATAAAATGTCAAGGGCATTTCTGGATCCTGTCATATTACCACCCCCCACTTCGTATATCATGCCCACGCATGCACATTGTTGTATATTTTAGTACCACCGCCGGTGATAGGGGGGCTGGGTGAGCCTTCAATTTGCTTCAGAAGCGCTTTAGGGAACAAGCCATTCAGTTATATAGAGATCAGTGATTACTACCTAACACATGCTGTCGAGGCAGCGGGTGTTTCCGGGCATATTTTTATAAATTCAAACATGAGAATTCCCCGAAGTGGCCGACCCTCGTAGGAGTGAGTGAAGACGCGGAGCACGTGTTCTTCACATGTCCCCGCATCAGCGATATCCGTAGTACTTGCAAGTCTGCGCTTGGAAGGAAGATCTTGTCTGAGAACTTGGCGGAAGTTTGGCCGTTATCGCAGGCAGCCTAGGACGCAGCGAGCAACTTCAAGTTGAAGTTACTCGCAAGTCATGAAGGAGCTCAGCAATGAGGAACGCAAGCGTAAAACTATGGAATAGACGAGGAATCTATACAGGGGAACGCTCTAGCCACTTTTAACATCTTAGTGGAACATGGTGGCGTACATTGGACCAAATCATTGTGAAAACGCAAACAGCGAAGGCCTCCCTCACGAACGGGAATTGAGGTCAGAAGAATTTTTCGGGGTCACGTGGTTTTTTAGTCGGGGCAGATTTGACACAAGGTGTGACAGTAACCATCAAAGCCCCCACTATCGTGCGTAGGCATTTTTCCATGGGACAAAAGAACACAAACACAAACATGTCTTCAAAAATCTATCAGGTTGATTCTAGCAGTCATGAAACATCGACAAATCATGAAAATTCAATTTTTTATTTTCGGGATGATTAAAATAACTTCCTCCCTCAGGGTCGGGAAGTTGAAAAATTTTTATTTCATTACTTAAGTCAAGCATTAGTCAATAATTCTATTGTTTATTCATCAGGGTAGTGATCTATATAACGTCCTGAAACAAATAGGATCTCCAGAATTCGAATGCACACCTGTAAATAGATCAGAATTCCCAGATAATTGGGATGAATCTGACGATTTCAAAGTAGGTACGACAGAATTATCACTAAAAATCCTCTCATTTTTTTAAAATTCTATCAATCTTTCTCCTTTCAGAATCAAGATACACCTAAGTATTCTTGTCTCTCGAATATATACCAAAGTATCAAGAATTATTTCTCTTCCAATGAAGATGGAAATAAAAAAGTTTCATATGGATTAAAAGAACTCGAGATAATTCTTCAGTTGGACCCACTTCTTGACGATCATTCTTCATTTATTCAGAGTATCCTGAAGGATCATCTGGATTTGCAAACTTATGAGTCAGCTTTTTCATGTTTATTTATTTATTTAATTATATTTGCATGCGAATGGAAGCTTTGTAATCGTTCAAATCTAGGTATTATTGAGCCTCATCCATCGACATTAGTTAAAATTCAATTAATATATCAATTTTTAGAATTTTCAATTTTGTTCAAAAATCGATTCCATGACAATTTAAAAAAATGTTCTGAATCAATTGAACGATGACTTGAAAAAATTATTTTCATATCCTCTTGACCGTTCTTATTCTTGATTTTATTGTTTTCGAGGAATTTCAGAATATAACTCAATTGAATAAAATAATATAAAACCATAAATCAGTAGCCAAGCGATAAAATGGTTCAAGTTGACTTAGTCTTTAGCTGAGCTTTTGAGGAATATCGCCGAATCTGAGGGAGATAACGAAATTTTCGTAATGACCTTGTTTGGTGAAGATCCAAATTTAGGGTGGGTGTGGGAGGTGTTGTTGCAGGATAGGCCAAAAATTAATTAGAACACTGATTTATGAAACGTCACTATATTTCAGTGGAATCGAACCACTTCATTAGCCGTAATATTTAAACTTTGGTTCGAACTAGTTTGTTGACTGTGTCAAAATATTAATACAGAGGTTGATGTACTAAATAACTATTGATGTCTTTGATAATTGTTTGATAATGGCCTTCTCAATTAAAAAATGGCTGCTAACTTTTTGGAGGTTTCGTGATCCCCTAACCGCTCAACCGAAAGTTCCGAAGGTACTCGAAGATTGTCGATAGGACCGACCATTTGACTGATAGATATATACCTACGTTTCAAACAGACCTTTTTTGTCAAACAAAGTGGGCACTACAAAAAAGGTCATGACAAAAATTTTGCCATCTCCCTTTGATTTCGAGATATTTGCTGAAAACTGGTCAATATTCAGAATCGACTAGAACTATTTTACCGCTTCGCTCTTGAAATGATATATGACAGAAGAAAATAATGTGCAAAATGATCATTCGGAGGTAATTTATCAGCAAAAATAGTCATGCTATATAAAAACAACAGCAATTTTTTACTTCTTAAATTTTTTAAATTGAAAAATAGAAACTGACCACCGATTTTCCGTAAAACAGACTTGAATTAAACACCTGAAAGTGTCTCAATGAAATCATCACCATGATTTTTCTAATTCCAGTGATAAAAAAACTGCATTCCCCTTCAGGATCCTTTCAGGATCATTACTCTTCACAGCCTCATTCCTCTCCCCAAACGTAAGGATCCATGGACTAATCACAGCACTATCACTCTCAACCCTGACAATCTATCAAAAATACTCAAGAAGATGTGGCCTCCAACGCCTCAGGAGTCTCGTATCAACCCAGAACAGAGTCTTCCACCTTCAGAGGAAGTCCTTGAAAATCCTTCGGAATGGATACGGCTTGACCCTAGACTCCAACCGAGCTCGAAGAAAATTTTCGGATTTAGAGGTGAATAGACTCCAATACTTGCAACCAATCTGCGAGGGATTATGTAGATGCATCGAGCAATGCTCTAGGACATTCTACAAGACCTCCTATTCACTATTTAGTCTACTGCCATCACCCTTACAGTCAGCAAATTTAATAAACACATTCGGGCAGGATCCCTTCAAAATTCAGGGGGAAATTACGTACAAGAAATTGCAGAGATTCTATTATACGTGCATCCTCGCGCAGTCAGACATGATGATTTTATTATCAATCGTCTTGGCTGACGGCTCGAGGAACTATCGAATGCAACTGAAGATATCCCGAATCATCAATAATCTCCGGAGGACGTTGACAACTCATGAGAGAGGATTGAGTTCCTTGATAGAAGAACACTCATCGTCGAAAACAGTCTCAATTCCCAGGAGAGATAAAAAAAATGACAGTCTGAAGTACAGAGATCTGTATATGCACGTGGATTTGCTCTCGAGAAAACTCCAAACTGCCTATTCAACGGTCTCGTCAATCCTAGAAGATATCGAGAATTCTCCAAGAGCAGGTGCAGATGTGGATTCACTGGTTTCGATGATGAATGAGGCGTATAAACAGGTCGACACAGCTCGTGATTTCGCTGAGTTCAATATTTTAGTGATGAAGAAACTGCAGAATTGTGGAGGGAGTCACCAAGTTCCTCATGATGAGCCCGAGGAGTCGATGGAGAGGGAGAAATTACCAGTTATTTTCGATGCTGATCCTCAGGTGATGGACGAGTGTTTCGAGGAGTACATCAGGGAAGAGTATTTGAGACCTTTGTGTGAGGATGATGATATTTCTGTGGAGAGGGCTAAGATGGATGAGCTCCTGGAGAGGAACTTCATGAGGGAGTTGAAAGGGGTTTTGGTGGTAAAGTACAGGAATATGTCTGAAAGAGAAGCCAGGGCGTTACTCAGGTGTCGAAAGGGTAGTTGTGGTGGGGACGGGGGAGGTGTGGGGATTCCTGTGCCACCTCCATTGCCCATCAGGGAAGATCATTCGAGGGAGGATGGGAGAAAGGATCGGAGGCCTGTTCCTTTGCCTCGGAGGGGCACTAGGACATCAGTTCCTGGGGAAGATGATGGGAACAGAGAAAGTGTCGGGAGTGAGCGGTTCTCGATTAAAATGGCTATTGGGGGGAGGATACCTGCTTTCACGGTTAAAGAGGAGACCTTCGTTGGGAGTGGAGAAAATTCAGAAGAGGAACTCGCTGGCAGTGGCTGTGAAGATGATGAAATTATTGATGGATGAACATGAATTTGGAGTATATGAGGAGAGATGAAATTGATGTTTTTTGTTCGTGAGAACTATTGGATTATTTTGATGATACACGGAAATGATATCGCTGAGTTCAATATATTATTAGTGATGAAGAAACTGCAGAATGATGGAGGGGGTCAGCAAGTTCCTCGTAATGACCCTGAGGAGTCGATGAAGAGAGAGGAATTGTCAGTTGTTTTCAATGCTGATCCTCAGGTGATGGACGAGTGTTTCGAGGAGTATATCAGGGAAGAGTATCTGAGACCTTTAGTTGTGATGGGGACGGGGGAGCTGTGGGCATTCCTGTGCCACCTCCATTGCCCACCAGGGAAGATCATCCGAGGTAGTGTTTCCCGATACCCAAAAAAACATTGATACTCAGTATCGTATTAAAGCAGATTGCTTGGTATCGATACCGCAAAGTATCGCCTTGGGAAATATCGATACTCGTAATATCGATCTTTTTAAAAATTATGGATGACAATGGCAAATAAAAAAGAATTAAAGTTGAAGAATATCGCGTTAAAAGACCTTAAACATTCAGATTCATTCACGTGAGGATATCCCAGTATTGTTTACAATTTGGTACAGACCATTCTATAGATTCCGCCACTTCCAATCATCAAATTTGTCAATTAAATTGCGCGAGAAAAAATTGAGATAAGTTATGAATATTCAGTGTCATTCACATTACAGTTTGCACAGAATTATTATTTTGTTCATTCGAGGGTGGAACGTCACGAGAGTCACTAGGGAATGATCAAATTTCACGAGGGTCAAACTCTACGAAAGCCACAAGGGAACGATCAAATTTCACCGAAGTGAAGCGTCACGAGGGTCAACAGGACATGGTCAAATTTCATAGTAGTGAAACGTCACGAGGGCCATAGGGAGACAATTAAATTTCACGAGTCAACTGACACGAGGGTCACATGGGGTGGTCAAATTTTATGACGGTCATAAGGGGATGGTCAAATTTAACGAAAGTGAAACGTCACGAATCAAAAGGAGATGGTCAAATTTCACGAGAGTCAAATAGCACAAGAGTCACAAGGGGATGGTCAAACTTCATATGAGTCAAACGTCATGAGGGTCACAAGTGTATGGTCGAATTTCACAAGTGTCAAACGTCACGAGTGTCTCACGGGGATGGTCAAATTTCACAGGATGGAAATGGCACGAGGATCACAAAGAGACGATCAAATTTCACGAGAGTGACCCGACACAAGGGTCACAAGAAGATGGTCAAATTTCACGAGGGTCAAACAGCAAGAGGGTCGCAAGGAGACGGTCAAATTTCACGAGAGTCAACCGACACAAGAGTCATAAGGGGATGGTCAAATTTCACAAGGATCAAACCTCACGAGAGTCAGAAAGGAATAAGGAAATGTTATGACGTTTGCATGTTCCAATGGTCATTTTCCACCAGGGTCCAACGTCAAATTTCGCGAGGAGCAAAGAATCACAAGAGTCACAAGGAAATATGATGCTTTAACGATCTTTGAGAATCACATGGAACAATCTCAAACTCTTTGTAGGAAGGATAAATGGTGTTCATTATTCAAGTTTATTGAATTTTTCACGAAATAATTTCGGGCCCTGGAAAGTTTAAAAATTGGCGATCCCCCTGTGACTTTCGTACTGTGTGACTCGTAAAATTTGAAGGTCCCCTTGTAACCCTCTCACGTTTGACCCTTGTGAAAATTGACCGTCCCCTTGTGTCGGTTAACTGCCGTGACATTTGACCGTCCCCTTGTGACCCTCGTGGAATTTGACCATCCCGTTATGACCCTTGTGAAATTTGACCATCTCGTTGTGACCCTCGTGAAATTTAACCATCCACTTGTGACCCTCGTGCTATTTGACCCCCGTGAAATTTGATCGTCCCCTTGTCTCGCTCGTCACGTTTGACGCTTGTGAAACTTGTCTCCATGTGACCCTTGTGACTTTTGACACTTGTGAAATTTGATCATCCGCTTGTGACCCCCGTGACCTTTGACTTTCGTGAAATTTAGCCATTCCCTTANGTTCAATATCCCTTTTTTTATATCTGAAATTTTACTACTTTTATAATTCCTCTGATGCAAATTGACAAGTCCAGGGGAACACTTTCCTATTTTTTGTTTTGTACCTTCAAAATTTTAATTTTGATGAGAGTTNGTCTCGCTCGTCACGTTTGACGCTTGTGAAACTTGTCTCCATGTGACCCTTGTGACTTTTGACACTTGTGAAATTTGATCATCCGCTTGTGACCCCCGTGACCTTTGACTTTCGTGAAATTTAGCCATTCCCTTATGACCCTCGTGAGGTTTGACTCTCGTGAAATTTGACCATCCCTTGTGACCCTCGTGCTGTTTGACCCTCGGGAAATTTGATCGTCCCCTAGTCTCGCTCGTCACGTTTGACCCTTGTGAAACTTNGTAAATTTGCGAAATTTATGAATATTCTAATTATAATAGTTGTTTGATAGATCAAAGCGTGGCATTGTTGTTGAAGAAATGTTGAGAACTTTAAATATTATTATTTTATCACATGATTTTCTCTTTTCATATATTTTGAATTTCTTATATTCTGTGAAACTAAATAGTTCTTCTCAAAAATATATTCATTGAATGTTCTATGCATTTCTGCTTTCATTGTTCATTGTATTTCATTGTATGCCGAATTTCTAGGAATTCTTTCGGAATTCCTAGACAGTTGAAGGATTATCTTGAAACTTCTGGAAGTGTCTTGAATTTCTGTAATAATTNACGTTCGATCCTCGTGATATTTGACTCTCTTGAAATTTGACCATTCTCTTTTGTCCCTTCTGATATTTTGACCCCGATGAATCATCTTATTCTTGTNCTGTAATAATTCCAGAAACGCTTGAATTCTTTCGAAATTTCTAGAAGTTCTAGAAATTTCTTGAATTCTCCCACAAATTCCACAAATGCATAAATTCTTTCCAAATTCACAGAACTGGTTCAACCTCTCAAAAATTCTAGAAACTTGAGAAATTCCGTCAGAAATTCTAAATTTAGTTGAATTTCTTAAAAATTTCAAGAAGCTCGAAGAATTTTCTAGAAATTTCTTGAATTCCTCCACAAATTCAACAAACCTGCGTAATTCTTTGGAATTCTCCAGAAGTCTCTTCGATTCCTCCGAAACTTTCAAGAAAAATTTTTAAGAAAATTTTCAAGAAAAATTGTAGTGGTNGTTTCATTACTTGTCCGTCAGAAAATATCGATCCCAACCCAGAAATATCGATACTAGTCCAGTCAAACTAGCTCTGAAAATGTCGTTTATATCGAAATTAACCANTCCCACAAATTCCACAAATGCATAAATTCTTTCCAAATTCACAGAACTGGTTCAACCTCTCAAAAATTCTAGAAACTTGAGAAATTCCGTCAGAAATTCTAAATTTAGTTGAATTTCTTAAAAATTTCAAGAAGCTCGAAGAATTTTCTAGAAATTTCTTGAATTCCTCCACAAATTCAACAAACCTGCGTAATTCTTTGGAATTCTCCAGAAGTCTCTTCGATTCCTCCGAAACTTTCAAGAAAAATTTNTGACAGGCCGTCTTCAATCCTAGATATCTTTAATTAACCTCACCAGATGGGAAAAAAAAATATTTCTTTGTAGCTGAGAAAATTTCCTATCGGGGAGAGTTAGGAACTTATAGCCCAAAATGTACCGTTAATTTATTATAAATTATAATAGNGCTCGAAGAATTTTCTAGAAATTTCTTGAATTCCTCCACAAATTCAACAAACCTGCGTAATTCTTTGGAATTCTCCAGAAGTCTCTTCGATTCCTCCGAAACTTTCAAGAAAAATTTTTAAGAAAATTTTCAAGAAAAATTGTAGTGGTAGCACTGGAAAAGAGGGGTGAAGTGGCAGCCAGGGAAAAATTCCAGTGCTGGCACTGGAAATTTTATTGGTATTCCTGCGAATTTTTCGTGTACTTAGGTGAAATTTTCACAGGAACACCAATAAAATATCCATNCATGGCAATTTTGGAGCAGTCGGCGCAACGCGTCAGCTGTTTCCCTCCCTGCGCCAGTGCCATGAGTCACGTGATTGGCGCCATGCGCAACTTATTCAAACCTCCTGCTGCGCTCAACGCAATAGCCTTCAGCTAGGTTTTTGATGAATATCTCCGAATCTGTGGGTGGTAGCCAAATTTTCATTATAAACTTTTTTGTAGACCTTTATTTGCTCTATAAAAATGGTCTGTTTGAAACGCAACTAAAATTCCAGAACATTCNGTAGCACTGGAAAAGAGGGGTGAAGTGGCAGCCAGGGAAAAATTCCAGTGCTGGCACTGGAAATTTTATTGGTATTCCTGCGAATTTTTCGTGTACTTAGGTGAAATTTTCACAGGAACACCAATAAAATATCCATTGCCTGCACTAGAATTTTTCCCTGGCCGTTTAACCCTCTTTTCCAGTACTAGTACTAGAATTTCTCTTGGAAATTTCTCTCCGTATAGGAATCCTTGAATTGTTTCGAAATTTCTGGAAGTTTTGAGAATTCTCTATTTTCTAGTGTTTGCTTCAATTCCCTCGGAATTCATGGAAATCTGGAAATTTTCAAAATTTCTTCGGAATTTTCATAAACGGAAGCAATTCTTTCAAAAATTCTAGGTTTATCGAATTCCTTCTAGAGTTCTAGATGCTTGAAAATTTTTTTCAATATTTCTAGAATTATTTCCAAAATTTCTCTTCTCAAAGTTTCTAGAAACTCGCAAGATTTCTTCTGAAATTAGAAATTTCTTCAATTTCTTCGAAATTTTGAGAAACTTCGAGAATTTTCTCGAAGAAAAATCCAAGGTTACAATATTATTGGGATAAGTGATTAATAAATGATTAGACACACTGGTATATAGATATATATAGTTTATTAAGGCACGTCTCTCGTCGATGCTACTCAGGCAATGTGCTTGGCACGAATGTGGCGTGATCATCACGGCAACGGTTTGGGACGGGATCGGCGCATGCGCACGGTCACGTCCCTCGTACAGTATGAACGTAGAGTTACAGTATAAG